GTTTTCAGTTTTTGTAAAACCCCCCCCCCCCCCCCAGTATGATTTGCTTGATGGCTGCCTGCAGCAGGTGAAGGCAAACTCCAGCCCTCCAGCTGTGGTGCAACTACAAATCCCATGAGACATTGCAAGACTCTTGACAGTCACGGGGATGACTCCCAGAGGCAGATGCATGATGAGTTTGTAGTTTCACCACAGCTCTGGCGGGCCAGGGGTTGCCTACTCCTGGGCTACAGCAATGCTAGACATCCTTCTGACCTCCCCCTTCTTTCTTCCTTAGTAAGCAAACATGCCCATTGTGGAGAAGCTGAAGGATGCCCTGAAGCCTGGCCGGAAGGACTCGGAAGATGTGGAACTCGGGAAGCTGCTCGCTTCCTCCGCCAAGAAGATCCTTCTGCAGAAAATCGAGTTTGAGCCAGCCACCAAGAGCTTCCATTACCAGCTGGAGACCCTGAAGAGCAAATATGTCCTGCTGGCTCCGTCGCTTCAACCCTCCACCCCGCACAGGAGCATAGAAGGGAACCACCGGCAGGGTATGCGCTCACGTTTTGTTGGCTGTCATTTTTGTGTCGTACCATCTGGTTGGGCAGATTCTAATGCTGGCCATACACACGTCAGTTTGGACCATTTTATCCGGACGGATGAAGGCAACCTACAACCAATGATTTCTTTCCACATCTCAGCACCATGAAAACATAGAAACCATTGTTTCCTGTTACCTTCATCCGTGTGATTGTTTTTGCCTGAGAATTGGCGTGTGTATCGCCAGCAGATGGGGCGGTACAGCTCGTGGATAGCAGCTGGCACCCACCTGCTTGAGCTTTGCAGGTAGGTCTCCATAGAATTACGTAGACCTTGAGCTCCTGGATCGATCAATGACTTCTAAATAGAGATCTGTGTGGGTGCAATATAAAGTATTAGTTGGTGTTCCGGCTGGGAGACTCCGCTTGCTTCCTGTCTGTTGTCACCAGGACGGGAAGTGATGGGAAATCTCCTTTCTACCCCTGATCTGACAGAAATTAACTTGGCTCCTAATTACCTGGTGTCAGCTGTGCCCAGTTTTCTTTTAACTCCACCATCCCTCCTCCATATCTACAAGCTAGAAACAAGGCTGTCTGCATGTTTCTCTACGTAAAGTTTTTTTTTTAAAGTTCTGTTATTGTGAGGATGATGGATGGATGGAGGATG